ATTAAACTTTTTTAGTTGGTAGGAATAAATTTTGAATTTTGCCCGGGTGGCGGCCGAAGCCTACTCTTATCGATTTTAGACCACCAAGGGATCTTTAACGTGCGCAACTTGCACAGGGGGGCCTCCGAGATTTTTCGCCCTTGTCCGAGAAGGCTAGGTGTAGATCTTGCTTACCAGAAGATCAGGGGTGTGGCTGAAAGACAGCAGTAAGAAGAACCCAAGGAGTAGCAGTAGAAAGGCTGTAGAAAGAATCAGGAGCCCAGAGGAAGGGGGGCGGGGGGAAGGAGATGAGGGAGTGGGGGCAGAAAGAGGAGACGAAAGCAGACGACAGAACATTGCTAGAGAGCAGGAAAGGAGGTGAAAGTGAAAGGAGACACATTTTGAGAAGAACATTTTTCGGTCACTACCCGGATTCGAACCCTGGACCTTTGAATGAGAGGCCAACACCTTAACCTCTAGGCCACGAGAGTCCCTGGTCATATAAGTGCCGTAGATTAGAGGTGTTACAAGAAAGTTACAAAAATAAAAAAGCAGGAGAGATAAAGACAATTGTTTTTAAAAAATAGGAAATAAGGAACAAACAACACCAGAACACCCGCCAACCACCCACGACGATAGATCTACCAAAAACCTAAAATCAAACTGAAAAGTAGCCTACAATGAATTATTTTTTCCTCTATAAACTAAGATTAATGGAACGCTGGAATATGCTTTTTCTCGAAGATTTGCCTTACCACCCAATTCTCGGGCCTAGCAGTGAAGGGGTTAAGAATAGACAAACAGTTTTCGGGACATTTAGATCGACACATTAAAGTCTTCAACAACTTATAGAAAAAAAATGAAAGGCAAAAGAGTCAGATGTAGCCCAAGAACAACCTACTCAGAGAACGTGAACTGCTGGTTGTAGGAAAATCAAGTCTGTAAGTTTTTGAAAAATGCGTATTTGTTCATAAGATGGAATCCTCAACGGAGAACTTCGAAGGAAGAGAAGGTCAAGATTCGTTTATAGCAACGAGATGTGGAGGCAGATCTCAGAGAGATGGGGTACAGTAATTTTATTGGCTGGAGGTAGAGAAGATGGCTCAGAGCAGAGACCAATAGAGATCCATTCTTGATGACCTATTTTAGTTATTTTAGTAAGAGTTTTACAGTTTGCGAAACACACGTTGGTTGCATTCACAACAATTCACAGAACTGTAAAAAAAAATTGTGGTAAAAATCTCGATTTTAAAATAACACTTTAAATAATCGACCCATACCCAAGACTAGTTTGAAAGAGGCAAAGAAGAAGAGAAGAACTGTATTGTTGCTGCTTTCGCGTTTATAAAAATAATATGTATTTCAATATGACTGACAACCTTGATGATACTCCTGCATTTAGATAGAGAAAAAAACTAGATCTACATGTAGTTCGTGATCTGAAAGCCCAAGGATGATCTCTGTCTGTTACTTTTTGCAGTCGCCGTTCCTCCTCAATGCCTTCCATTTAATTTATACACTCTAGCCAATTGTTTTTCTCCCCTGATCCAGTGTTTGTTTTGATTCTCTTGACGGCGATGCCACGCTACAGGAAAGTGTTAGCAAGTGTCATAATGCACAAAAACTCCTAATAATGAGATCTTAAAAGGCTTTAAATTACAAACTGTTCATTTAAAATGCAATTAGAAAACAAAAATTCAGCTATTTTTGGTTCATAAAGAGACATGAATGGTAGAGGAAAATGGTAATGGGCAGAAGAGTGAAAGGAAACCAGGTGCGGTTTGTTAACTGGGCAAGACCGGCGGTGCCGGTCAGAATTTTTTCAGCTGGACTGTTGACAGGAGATTTATTGCTGATGATGATTTTCATTCAGTTTTAAGTAAATCCAAACAAACA